AGGCCTTACTAAGTAGCATAGTGATGTTAGGAAGGAAGTGTCATTCTAGAAGTTAGTGTTTCTCAAGACACACAGCTGGTTGGAAATTACAGCCCCCGCCCACCCCCAACACACACCTCTTCGCATCAGGGACCTGTAGGGACCTGGTAAGCACAGTGGCCTGATGCTGTCGGGTCAGAGACCAGGCCCCTCTGGTCCTGCAGCCCCCACTGCCACGTGACCACAACATGCTCATCAGGAAACTCGTGGCTGAGAGCAGAACTTCATCCAGGCCACTGGAGCCAGGGTGTCCCCGCCAGAGGCTTGCTTTCCAGTAAAAGTCTGGCTGTTTCACAGCATTTCACCCAAGACTGGCCTTGACTGTGGCACGCCGGGGGAGAAGGAAATCGAGGAGAAACATCTCTCCTGCCTGCAGGCTCCTGGGCCGCGGGGCTGCCTGTGCTTCCGAGTCCAGGCGGCGCCGCGGGCTGGCCAGTCAGCTTGGGCAGGTTCACCCCCAGCTGCGCCGTCGCTGGGCCTGGCCGGGGTCTGGGCTTCCCTTAAGGGGAGCGGAGCTCAGCGTCGGGGGTGGATCTGGGGCGCATGGATTTTGGGCTCCTCGCTGTTTTGAATTGTAAGTGTGTAGATTCAGGATGAATGGGTTCCGCCTGCGTAAACGCTGCCAGGGCGACTCCAGAAGTGGTTTCTTCTGAAGGAGGTGAAAGAGCCCGTGGGCGAGTGTGGAAGCCCTCTCTGAGAAGGGCCAGCGCCCCGGTCTAAAGCCTGAGACGCCTGCAACACTGCCCTGAGGACCAAGGGCTGTGGCTGACAGGTGCCCGGAGCGTATGGGGCCAGCTGGGGGTGATGACCGCCCTCTCTGTAATGTCAGTGGAAAATAATGGGGTGTCTGTTACTCCATCTCTAGGGTGAAGTTGGGGAGCGGGGCCTGGCAGGCCGACCCGGAGAGAAGGTCTGTTTGTTCGCTCATTCATTCATTCGTTATTCTGCACTGCACCTTGTATCAGCTGTCTTCCTGGAGTCACGCCATTCATTCCATAGGCATTTATTTACCCAGTGACTGCCAGCATGCCCTGTGCGTGCGCTGCAGTGCTGGGTGCTGGGGGCACCACCATCAACCAGGGGCAGCCGAACAGGTGCAGTGAGCGGTGCCATGCGGGTGAGGGGGGGAGGACATCGGGGAGGCCCCTCCCGCAGACTCGGGCTGGGAGGTGACACTGTGGCTGCTCCAAATGAGGCGTTAGACAACAAGGGAGGAGAAACAAGGGTTCCTGGACAGGGAAGAGCGAAGAGAAGGAGCTTGCGGGCCCCAGCGAGCAGACGCTCTAGAACCCCCTTTATTTGCTTCCCATGTTACCTCCGCTAAGCCAGAGGGCCTTGGGGGGCTGCACTGCAGGAGGTGGAGAGCGCATGCCCCTCCTCCTGACCCCCAGAAGTGCCTCCTCACCGAGGGCCCACTGAGCACAGGCGCCGTGTTCTTTCCACAGGGAGAGGCGGGGCTCCCAGGTTCTCCGGGATTCCCAGGCGTGCAGGGAGAGAAAGGAGAACAGGTGAGTGGTGGCAGCTTCTTCCCAGCAAGGCCGCCCTGCCTGTGCCCGTGGAGAGCAGCCCCCTTTGTTGTCTAAGACCTTGGGGGATGGGTGACCCTTTTGGCTGGGATTAGCGCATATTTCCCCAGCATTTACAGAAGAGAGAGGGAAGGGGGTCAGGCTGCTGTGGTCTATGAACTGGAACAAAAGGCCAGTGGCCGAGGGGTCTCCCTGGAAAGGGTGGAGCATCTCCAGGTGATATTTTTGGGAACAGGGTGGGTGGCGTCATTTGTCAGGTGCCCAGTGGAGAATTAGAGGCTTCGTGTTTAACTGACAGGACACCCCTTGGACTTGGCCTTAGCCATGTCAGGGCAGGTTGGGGAGAAAAAAAGTATTTTGCCCAAGGTCCCAGTGCCCTTACCTGGAAGAGGCCGTCATTACACTCAGTTGAGTTCTCATGTTTTCTAATTTCATCTTTCTCTGTAGGGAGAGAAGGGGGAGCGGGGGCTCCCGGGACTGAAAGGTGACCGAGGAGAAAAGGTAGGACTGCTGCTGTCACCCTGGCCATCAACCCTACGAGCTGCAGAGCCTCCCCTCCATAGTTTGTGTGCACTGTCTGCAGTGAGCTTCATTCTCGGAGTCAGAGAGGTGGCCTGGGTTACAGTCCTGGTTCCACCCGATGTGAGCATCTTATTTGACCTCGCTGTGCCTCCCTTGCTGGCCTGAAAGTGGTTCCACTAATATAGGCCGGTATCCACAGGCAGCTGGTTCCAGGAGCCCCTGCAGATACCCAGATCCATGGATGCTCAAGACTCCTATTTAAAATGGTGGCATATGAGGAATAGCGGACCCCTCGGGAGGCGGGGCTGACTGTACCTCTCCCCAAGGGGTTTAGTAAAGCGTAGGTACTCCTCTGCTTGGGGAGTGAGTTCCTGCGGGCTCACTGTGCGCCAGGCCCTTGGGAAGCACTGCACGGGTAGTGACTCAGGTGATCCGCATGGCAGTCCAGAGAGGGGTCATGTTAGCAGCAATGCCCCAGTTTTCAGATGAGGAAGCTGAGGCACAGAAGACCAAGCTGCCTTCCCGGAGCTGCGGGGATGGAGGGCGGTCGGGTCAAGACCTGAACCTCAGTCTGGGCCCAGCGTCCTGGCTCCTGGCAGAACCACACCTCACACGGGCCTGGCCCGAGGCGGAGTTGGGGCCTGAGGAATGGTCACCGCCCGAAGGGCGCCCCCCACCGCCCTCACCCCTCTCCCCAACGGTGCTGTCAGCTTGTTCTCCCAAGTGCGCACTTTCTTCCCCTGCAGTGTCCTGCTCTCCTTCTGCCCTGACTCCCATCCCCCTCTGCCCGGCTTTGTTCTGGGCGGACCTGCCATCTGTATATAAATAGAGATCCTGGAATGGGCAGGGCTTTGGTGGGTGAGCCATCAGACCTGCTGCTTTCCTGGGCATTTTCACTTGAGCAACTCATTTCCGGGCTGCGGAGGAGTCAGTGAGACCATTAAGCCCCTTTCGTTGCTTTGGCAGAATCGCCGGGGCCACGGCAGAATCACAGTCAGGCTTCCAAAGACTGTTCTGCTTTTCTTTTCCTCCGGAGAAATATGTAATAATAGACCATTCTGGTTTTAAAAAAATCTAAAACAAGACATTAAAGCCGCATTGCCCCGGCTGACTGCCTGTGCATCCTGGCCTCAGCTCTCCTGTCCACGCCCTCCCTCCCGCCTGCTGTGAGCATTTTGGCTCCAGGGCGTCTTGGAAAGTAGATGTGATATGACTTCCCATCAGCTGGGGCCTAGAGAGTTAAACCACGGAGAGGCTGGGATGGGAGCCCAGGATGGTCACCTTAACTCCAAAACTCACAGACCCTTCTGCAGCCAAGCCTTGGTCTCCAAGTCAGAGAGCTGCCCGGGCCCTACCCCGTTGGCCCCCGACCCTTCCTTCACTCCGCAGCCCTGGGGGTGGGGGGCAGTCTCGAGGCCCTCGGGGTTGGAGACCCGTCTCTCCCCCGTCCTCTTCTTGTTTACGTCTGTTCGTACGTTTCACTGGGAAAAACCCTCAGCTCTGAGCTTTGAGTCCTTTGGACTTTTTAACACAGGGTCAGTAGGTTTAGATGAGACTGGTTCTGGAGCGTGAGGTTAAAAGTGTCAGGGAGAGAGCTGGGTAAACTCAGATAACGCAGGTAGCACTGAGGAAGGATCTTTCTCTCCGAAGCATCTGGAACAGTCAGGGGAATGCTGCTCAGTGTCTAAGGGCTTGAATTCTGAGTCTAAAACCAGGGTGAGCCGTTTGCTGGCTGTGAGACTGTGGGCAGGAGCTGTTCGTTCGTTTGTCCACGGATAACCACGTGTGGACCCGGGCCTGCAACAGGCCTGACCCTGGGCTGCTGGGAACACAGCTGGGCGTAGACATCCATGTGCTGACACCGTGGTGGCTCACGTGGTTCGACAGGCTTTGGGGACCATTCCTCCTGCGTGGAGCAGCCCAGGGACCTCCTTTCCTCAGGGAAAATGCGGTAACAGTTTCCTCCTTGTTGCGCCTCTGCTGAAGATGACTTCACTCAGGTCCCCGTATGATGCTGGGAGCTGTATGTACTGGTATCATTATTTTGCAAAGAGAAAAACAAGCCAATAGAGGTAAAATAATGTACAAAATGGTAGAGTTAGGTTTCAAGCTCAGGTGATTCAACTCCCCAGCCTGTGCTGTTCACAGGAATGCAATGTTGGTCCCCCAGCCCCCTGAGAAGAGCCTGTCCCCTTCAGAGAGGGTGGGGCAGGGCCCAGGGGGGCCTGTAAGGGGGCTCAGGTCTTTGCGCTCCAGCGCAGCTTGGGGTGTTTGCTGCAACAGGTGGGGAGTCACCCAAGTGTCATCAGCAGGCAGATGGACAGTGGATCAGTGTTCCCACGCGCACCATGCAGGAGTGCAGAGTGATGTAAATGGCCTGCAGCAACACACGGCAGCGTAGACACTTCTCACAACACGAGGCTTCGTATACCTGAAATATTTTATAATTCAGGATCAGTCTGTCTTATCAAGATTGATGCTGGTGGGTGATTCTGTTGTCTGGGGCGAGGTGTCCCAGGACGAACAGGGTTGGGGGCAGGGTTAATTGTAGTTTATTTTCTATTTCTTCATCTAGGGTGATGCTGGCCCAGCCGGCCCCCCTGGCTCACCTGGAACTGTAAGTGACCCTTCTCCTCCTTTGAATTCCCGGGGCACTGGGATGTCCCCTCCCTCCACACATACCGCTTAGTCGCAAACATCGTTTCAAGGGAGTTTGCCAATAGCTAGACCTGTTCCGAGGTCTCATAACCCAAAAATGCATAAGCTCCTCTGAGAACCACCTCGTGTTCATTGACTGACTTTATTCAGCAATTACAGTTACTGTTTGTCTGAACATTGACTAGATGCTGAGAATCCACACCTGCCTATTGCTTGTGGGGAAACAGAGGTCCAGAGACAGGAAGCAGCTTGTCCGGGGTCAGGCTTCAGGGTGGACGTACAGCCCTAACTCGTGCCTCCGCCGTCCTCGGGTCTGAGGCTGGGCATCGTGAGTTGGTGTTGAGCAGTGAGTGAGGGCCAGGGCTTTGGAGCTGGAAACAAGTGGGTTTGAACCCCAGCTGCGCCATTCACCAGCACTCACCAGCGCTGTGGTCTTAGATATGTTGCTCAATGTCAGAAAGACTAGGTCTTCTCAGCTGTCAAGGAAAATGTTCTACCCAGCCATCTTGCACATTTATAGTGAAAATTAACTGAAATAATGTCAGATATATAGCTCGGTTTCTGGTACATAATAAACACTAAATTTTTTAAAAACCTGTATAAGTATGTGAACATATTCGGCATGCTTTTTTTCATTTGAATGTTCCTTCCAAGCCTGGATGTTCTATGCTTTGATCAGATGAGTTCGGGGAAGGTGGACATGGCTCCGGGTGCTGGCCATGACCGGGCAAGTAGAGGTTGGTGGTTAGGAGCCAGGGCAGGGGCCTGCCTGGAGGGCAGGAGATAGAAGAGCCTGAACACCCAGAAATCCTGCGTGCGGTGCATTAGAAAGCTGTGCTCTGTGGTTTCTATGTGTGTTAATCATGATTCCTCAACTCGGTCTCCTCCCGACACACACACCCATCAGCACGAGACCGACCATTCCGTGAAGATGTGGCAAGAATCTCAGAATCACGTGCAGAGTCGAAACTGGTCGTGTACAGTTTTTTGTTTATTTAACACAGGCAGGCACGCAGAGAGATGAGCGCCGCTGTCTGGTGAGAGCACGTTGGTGCACTTACTTGAGAAGTTCCTTGGTGTTAACATATCATGAAGTGTCTGCCCGTTAGTTTAGAGAGTCTCTTTCTTGGCATCTCTCCTAAGAAAACTACTTGCATTGTGTTTTTTAAAAACTTACAAAAATTTACATTGTGGTGTTACTTAGAATGAAAAATTACAGGCAGCCTGCATGACCAGAAGCAAAGAATAACTAGCCCACAGGATAGCCATATTATGGAATCCTACTTCATTAAAATAAATATGCTGTGTGTACGGCTTTAAAAAGATACCAGTACTCAGGAAAGATAAAGTGGAAAGAGCGATCGGTGAATTACGGCACGTGTCAAGGTTAGCATGGCTGCTGCCCACGCACGATGCCAGCCCCTGCTCCCGCGTTTGCTGGCTGGGGGGACTTCATTAAGTAGTTTCCTTCTCTGTCCTTCGTTTTTCTTATGAATGAAGCAGGGCAAAAACAGATCAGCGACCTCTCAGACTTCCCGTGAAGAACATATAAGTTAATACGTGGAAACAACCATCGGTAACAATGCTCGCCGTTACTGTTCGTGTAACTCTCACACAAAGTCGTGCGTCTCCGCACATTTATAATTGTATGGAAATATATACAAATGGGTCTGAAAATATCTAAACTGGAGAACAGGAGACGGGGAGGTAAGGTTAGGAAATCTCTTTTTTTCCTTCTGTTTTGAATTCATTGTGTTTTTTACTAGAATCCATGATATCCTTTTGTCCATTCATTTTTACTTGAGCCCCGGCTGTGAGCCGGGCATTGGCAAAGTTTGGACCCTCTGGGGCTTACAGACTAGCCAGGAAGATAAACTCTAGTCACATAGTGCCCCAGATAAACATATCTTGCAAATTATAGTAAACGCATTCACAGAAAAGGGCAGCGTGCATGCCACGGGGTCTAATTTATATTTGAGTGGTGGGAGCGAGGGGGACCTTCAAAGACACGATGTTCAAACAAGCCCCACAGGATGGGCTTAGTCAGTTAGATCAAGGGAGGAGGCGAGCGTGTTCCAAGCCAGAGGAGCAGCCTGCGCGAAAAAGCGTTGGGGCTGGAGAAAGCACGAGGCCTGGGAAGCATTCAGTGCTGCGTGGAAGGAGGGCCACGCAGGGGCCAGTCCGCGGGGTGTTCATCTGCCGAGACAGAGTTCATATCTGCTGAGCTCTCTGTCCCCAGAGCTGCGCTCCTGCAGCTGGCATCCTCCTCACCTGCGTCGAAGCCAGTAGACGCTGAAAGTGAAAGGGGGACTGGTTAGGGACCCAGCCATCCCGGCCGGCCCTGATGATTTGCATGAATGATTGCATTTCGGCCTCACCACACCCTGAGCAGAGAACATCCATCCCCTCCTTACCACTGAGAGCGCAGAAGCTGCTCGCTGTCTGAGGGCACCCAGTGTCAGGTGGGGGCGATGGGATCTGAGCTTGGGCCGCGGGCCTCGAGTTTCCACCTCTAACCACTGTGCTTTCCTGACGTCATAAATCCTCAGGGGCTTTAAAGGAATGTGTGATCCTAATTGTCGAAACAGTACTCATTGGAGGAACCCTTGGGGCTGCGTTCTCCACTTGGTAAATCTCTCAGAGGCAAGCTTTTGAAATGAATTCACGTTTTCCCAATTTCTGTGGTTTCCTTTTCAGACGTCCCTCTTCACGCCACACCCGAGACTGCCAGTAAGTAGCAGTGGCCCCATGTCCCCCCAGGGTGCTGCCTGGTGTCCCCCCAGCCTGGCTCACCATGTCCGCAGGTGCTCTGGGAGCTGGGCTGGGCTGCATCCTGACTGTCAGCGCCACGTGCGAGTCACGTGCCAGACCTTGTCCTGGCAGCCGGTGGGGATCGGGCCCTGCAAGGAACCGGCTCCACGTCAGGCAGGACGTTCCAGGGGGGGCCTGGGGGTTGCCTCCCAGTAGCCAAGGGCAGAGGCCAGCCCTCTCTTTGGGTCAAGCTCCGCTTCACTACCTGGAGGGGCTGGTGGCTCCCAGGAGGACAGGATCTCGTGACTTTCAGAAGATGAAAGAGCAGAGCAGACAGCTGCTGTGGGTGTCAGCAGTGAGGGGACCCGGGACTGGAGGGGACAGGTCTAAGAGGGGCTGCTCAGAGGACACGGAGTGCTGAGCTGGCTTGGGGGTGTGGCTGATGGCGGGAGAGCTTATGGCTTCTTGTGAAGACGCAAACACGAGACAGAAAAGGAAGGTCACTGCGGCTGCAGCCTCTAGGAACCCTGCCCTACGCCTCCCATGAGCGGCTCCAGTGACAACGAGCATGTTCAGGATGGCTGGTACCCTTGACAACACCGAGGGCAGCAGACTCGCCTCCCTTGTTCGTTTGCTCTCGGCCGCACTTCTCCGGCATGAGGACTTGCTCCGCTGCACCACGCGCGGCGGCCCAGAGGCTTGTGTGGGGAATCCTCCTCCGCGTTTTCACCACTGAGTAGACACGGCCTCCGAAGCTAAGACGCATCCTGTGTACAGTGGGAAAGAACAGAGTAGGAGGGAAGAGCGAGCTGGTGCCAAAATCATCCAGGAGCCGGGGGATGTTGAGCTGCTTTGGAGGAAGAGCTGGGAGGAAGCGGGGGCAGGAGGGCCTGCCCCTGGGCAGCGCGGGCTGCAGGGGGGCTGGGAGATGCCTGCGGAAGGGGTGGGCTCGGGGCCCTGGCTGTGTCCTCTCCTGTCTCAGGGGAAGGGCTCGAAGGGTCAGGGCACCAGAGCATCCAGCGCGGCAGGCGGGGTGCAGGCGCCGCTCCCACATCCCTGAGGGCTGCAGATGCGCCATGTCACAGACGATGGCGCCTGGCTCAGAGGAGCGAAGTGCCTTGCAAAGGGCCCTCCTGAGATAGGAATTGAGATGAAGTTTTCGGCCACAAGGCCCTGGAGGAGCCGCTGTCCCCACCCGCTGCTGAGGTTCAAGCCCCGCCCCGTGGGTGGCACCAGCCCCCATCACACTGCCCCACCGCCTCTGGCCTCCAGAGCCACATCCACCTCACAGTGCTTCCCACTCCTCCATCCTCTGAGTCTCCCTCCCTCAGGCCCACCCTGAGCCCCTAAAGCCTGGGGCAAGTCTGCACATCCAGCCTGTCCTTAAAGGAATTGCTCCATACAGGGTGATTTCCAAGGTGTTCCCCTGGAGAGGCAGCTGAGTTGGAGCCTGGGGCCTGTCCAGCCTCCCCTTTGAATCCCAGTGGTGACCCCTTCCTACAGTGTCTGAGCTTTGCAGAAACCAAGAAGCCGTTTTCAGATGCAAAGCAAGGGGATTGTGTCCATGAAAAAAAAAAAGATTCATCGTGGATTATTGCATGAATTCCTCTGGGGCCTGGCCTCATTGCCATGGTAACCATGTTTGTATTGATGGTTTTTAAAGATGTTCTTCTGTTTGACTTCTCCCTGTTCCCAGCTGTGTGCCTTTGAGTCCCTGCACAGAGGGAGGGGCCGGGAGACTTAGATGGGCGGCGAAGTTTGCGGCACAATTAAGAAGGGAAACAGAAAGGGGGAGGGGGTCGGGAAGTAGAGCCCCAAACCCTTCTGCTCCAGGATCGCAACGTCTCCAGGGGATGTCGGGCACCACACAGGGGTGGGGGGCTCGAGGCGGTGTGGGGCTGGCAGTTTGTGAGAACAGAGCAGGGACTGCTAGGTGGGTGCAGGTGTGGAGAGGGCAGAGGAGAGAGGGCCCATCCCTTATGGGAGGAAGGAGGGGCAGGCGGCCTCTGCTTGGAGAAGTGGCAGCTGAGAGGTCAGGTGGGGCTTCGTCACTGGGAGGCTCGCAGGTGATTCAGAAGCAGCCACCGTGGGAAGGCCGCCGGACTGCACCCCCTCAGCCTGAGAGGGGTCCCAGGACGCCCAGCCAGTGCCCTGCGTTTGCTGAGCCCAGGGGAGGATTTGGCTTGGCTGCCATCACCGGTAGGGGGCAGTCGGAGGAGAATAAAGCCAGTTGAGCTCACCCATTCCGCATTCAGCAGCCGTTAGTCATCATCTGCTGTGCACCCACGAGAAGCCTCTGCCTCTGGGCTCCCGGGCCCCGGGTGGATAATGAGCATCTTGCCTGAGTCCCCAGGGCCCCTCCTCTGGCCTGGCCTGAGCCTGCCCCTGCCAGCCCCAGCGTGCAGGCTTCTCTCCTGTGTGTCACCTGAATCCACCCCGTAAGCCCTTCTGTCTTCACGGATTGTGTCTCCAGAGACTTGAGGCCCAGGCAAAGAATTTTGCAAATCCCCCCACGGGAAATTTTCTTGGAGGAAGTAAGAATATTGTTTGGTGACTGGAGCCAGAGTGTGCTCTTCTCAGCTGGTGGGAAATGGAGATTCTGGAAGAAGGCATGAGCGCACGCCTGTAACCTCTTCTGTGTCGGCAGCACGAAGCCCTCTGCAAGAGCAGTCATTTACTCCGGTCACAGCTCTCCTATGGGGACCACACAGATTTCACTCGACAGGTGATGCAGAGAGAGAGTGGGGACCGCAGCCCCAGGCCATGCAGACACTAACTCTGCGATCAGTGATGAGGTTGTGGGAGGCCAGGCAGGAGCCTCTGGGGCAGGGACTCCGAAACCTGCCCACGTGTGGGTACAGGAAGCGCCGTGGGACCCACAAAGGGCTGCGGCCGTCTGTACTGCTGCTTCTCCGACGAAAGGCTTAGGGCTAGCTCGCCCCAGGCTCCCCAACTCAGATGGTAGACTGCCTTCTGGAACCTTCCAGGGTCCTCTCCAGACCTCCTGGTCTCCACAGCCTTTGCCTTCAAACTCCCTACCTGCACAGGACCCCCTTCTACACTCAGGGCAAATGCTCATCCCTTCTCTCTTTGGGCCTTTCTGCAGACGGGGAGCCCAGTGTCTCCCTAAGCAGCCCACCGCCCTCTGGAGGCTCCTTTAGTGAGACCCAGGCCTGGCCCTTCTGCTGCGCGTGCTGGCTGTTCCTCTGCTCTCCCCAAAGAGCCCGCAGACACCTGCGCGTGCCCTTTGTTAGTGCATCCTCATCCTGTGTGAAACAGGGAACCCCTACCCATTTTGCAGATCTAGACACTAAGGTCACTGTGGGCCAATACTTTGCCCGAGGTTACAGGGCTGGCGAGCTGGAGACCTGGCATTCCAGGCCAGTCTGTGTGGTCCGCGGTCTACTGTCCCCATGGTGTCCCCATCCCACATGCTGGCCCTAGAGCCGTGGGAAGGCAGGGACCTGAGCCCTTCCAAGTCTGCCTTTGTTACAGTGTCCTGTCTGCCCACCTTCTCCCCGTCACCTGTGAAGAGCAGGGTGGGGGTCTCCTGTCCCTCCAGCCTTCCTGGGAGGTATGAGGGGAGCCCTGGGTGTGGCACCAGTGGATGAGGAGAAGGACCGATCCCTCCCCCATGAGATTGTCCCATCCCAGGAGCCCCGACACTATGTACTCCTTCCCAGCCCATGCCCGTCTCTTCTGTAGCAAAAGTTAGAAACGCCATTCTGTCCATGAGAGTCCAATGTTCGGTTCCCATTCTGTCCCCGAAGGGCTGGATCTGTTGAACAAAGCCCCTTCCTCAGCTTCTCCATCAAGACAAGAAAGGGGTTGGGTCAGGGGGCCGAGAAAGACCCTTCTTCCTCCCTGCATCCTTCCCACTGGTCACTGATGGGCTCCCGCTAGCCAGGCTCTGGGCTGGGGGGACAGGAATCAGACCACACAGAGAAGTCGGCTGCTGTGGTGCCCGGTGCCGAGGGGGAGAAAGACTGACGTGCGAGCCTGCAACAGCAGGGCTTGGCCGGCTCAGGAGTCATTCTCCCTGAAGAAGGCGTTCTTGACCTTAGATCTGAAGGATGAGTAAGGCTCTGTCGGAGTCTAGTGGCGTCTGGCTGGAGGGGAGAGGCCCCAGGCCTAGGGGCAGCCCGGGGAGGACGGGTCTGGAGCCTTGCAGGACGGGAAGGCCCGTGTGGCGGGTCTGGGAGCGGGCTGAGCGCGTCTGTACTCTGTGCTTCTCTGCCAACAGGGAGAGCCAGGGCCCAAAGGAGAGAAGGGCGATCCCGGCGCGCCTGGGGACCCGGTGAGTGCCCTGTGCTCGGCCCCACACCCCTGCTCCACGCCCCTCCCTCTGTGCGGCTGGTTTCCCTGAGACAGGATGCTGAGGGCAGAGCAGCTGCAGGTCTGAACTGCGCACAGGAGCCCTGCTGAACCAAATGAGGCCCCTTCCTCGTCCCTCAGGGGTCCAAGGACACCCCCCCGTGGATCTCAAATTATGCCCATTGCACGTGTCCAGGCCTCCCCCACCTGCCCAAAGCGAGGGGTTACCCGGTCCACTGATGGGTTGTTTCATTGCAGGGACCACAGGGTCATCCTGGAGAACTGGGGCCTCGGGGACCCACTGGACCACCGGTAAGAAAACCCTCTGTCCACCTGCTGCCTCGAAATCCCCACCAGCCCCTCCATCTCCTGCTGGCCCTTCTCACCTGCCATTCCCGGAGTGTCCACCAGGGGCGCTGCTGGGACTGCATGAGTCCAGGGCTTTGGCGCTGAGAGGGCCCCACAAAGCGCCCCAAAACGCAGCGCACGGCGCCGGGTCCTGCCTCTGGGCCCCTGGGTGTCGTTACTGTGTCCCTGAGGTGTCGTTTAGGCGAGCTCGGTTCCAGCCACGCCTTCCCTTCCCGACTCAGTGCCGTCAGGCTGGTGGTGCTCAGCTCCAGGGCTGTCCCTGGCTCCCTAAGGCTTTTCAGACGCAGGCAGCCCCTTCCTTCCCGCCAGCCATGACTGGCGGCTCCAGTTTAAATGACACCTGAGTGTGTTGGCATTTTGACTGTATTTTCTGCAGCTTTGGCTTCTTAACTGGGCTCTTTGTTGGGCAGTGGCTCATGCTCTCCGAGAGTTTCCCTGGGAACGACCTGTCAGGGCTCAGACCCCATGGGGCCCTGGGCTGGCTGTGTGCACCTGGCCTGGCCTGTGCCTGAGCCTCGTTTACGTAAAGATGAAGGGTTGGTACTGATCCCTGTGTCCTGGGGGTGGGGAAGATGGCCAGCGGAGGCCAGGAGGTGTGATTCTGCACCTTTAGACCCTGCCCCCTGCCCTCTCGGTTTGGATCACCTGATTCTGATGTTAAGTTCTCCCTGACCTCCCTGCACAGGGCTGAGGACAGCATTGCCTGCGGTGTCCCACCACCACATTTTATTTCCTCTGCAGGGTGCCAGGGGCCAAGAAGGTGCACAGGGGACGCCCGGAGCAGCTGGGAACCCCGTGAGTCCTCATGCGCCACCCGGCCCCCCACCCCGGGGTCCCACGGGAGGGAGCCTGGGCCGAGCACCTGCCCCTGGGCTCCCAGCTCTCAGCTGACTGTGAGCAAGGGGCCAGGAAGGTGCAGTCCACACTGCAGGGCTGGCCAGGGCTGGGGCCTTCTGAGCAGAGAGGACCAGAGAACATCTCCACAGCGCTCCCAGCACCTTGGGGCTTTGTCCACGTGCCAGCCCACGAAGGGAATCGCCTGCCGCACAAACACGGGTGATCCACATGTGGACACACATGGACGCTCTTTCCCAGATGGGTTTGACACTCCTGGAAGTGTGCCCACGTGCACAGCCGCACCCGCACATTCGGAAACCCGGGTGCCCACATACAGTGATGCACACGCACGCGCACACACACCCCTGATGCAGTTCCAGCCAACCCAGGAAGACACACAGACCTTCATTAGACGAGGGTGTCTTTCTCTGCGACTCCGATCTGGACGGTCTGCTCCATTTTCAGTGTTTCCTTTGCCCCATGCACTTCGGATAGAGGCCAGACGTCACCTAGACCCTCGTGCACGTTAGATCCTGGCTTCCTCTGTGCCTGCCCCCGACAGACACCACCTCTGCCTCCCCCGTGCCTTGGTCTTGAGGAGCTTCCTAGCATCCTCCTGCCTCCTGCCTCCCACCGCTGGGCCAGAGTCTCACTCACTTGAGGCTTGGCTGGTAGAGGCGCTGCAGCACTCAGGCAGGGGTTTATCTCACCTGTTGGGGGAGTTTCAGGTTAGAAACGTTTCTGGCAAGTCAGGGGGAACAGAGTGGAGGTGGGTTTGGAGAGAGCCTGGGGCGACTGCTTGCAGCCAACACGCTGGCCTTTCTAACCTCCTTCCATCTCTGAACAGGGCGCTCCTGGACCTGCAGGTCCCAGTGGCCCCCCAGGAAGTGCGGTGAGTTATCACGGTGGGGGGAGAGGGCAGGGACACCAAAACTGGTTGTGGGTCCACCGTGCCCACCCCCCGAGTTAGCTCACTATCCTCCAGGAAGCTTGGGGGTGTAGGCATCCTCGCTCCCATTTCACAGTTGGGGAAATTGATGTCCCACGGAGTCACCTGGAAAGTTACCAGCCTGAAGCTCTGGGTAGCTCGTGAGGTCTCCAGGTGGCCAGCGAGGCGGCTGTAACTGCTGAAAGCCGCGAGCACCACCGATGCTGGAGTCAGCGTCAGAGGTGCCTTAGAAGGGGCAGAAGCTGAAGGGGCCCTGGCTGTTGGGATGCCCGGGTTCTCGCCCCGGCTCTGTCGCTCACGGGCTGTGGGCCCCTGCCTGGGGCCCCTGGGGGCCTCTGCTTTTCTGTCTTCAAAACGGAGAGAGCGCGCTGTGGTGGTTCACCTATAACATCCCGCTGCACTGGAAGCATGGACACCGCCTCTCCCACATGGGCCCCACGGGGCCTGCTAAGGGACCAGCCTGAAGGTCTCTAGACACTGATTTCAGTTTAACGTGTGCAATAAAACGCCCAGTGGCGTCAGGTCAAGGGCAGCGGAGAGTTGCTCTAAAATAGGTTGAGGTTAGTCCTGTTCAGCTGTCAACCTCCACGTGAAGAATCACAGCAGTTTGGAAGACAGACCCTGGGCGTAGCCACAGGCCAGGCACCGCTCTCCGTGCTTTGCACGTGTCAGCTCATGAGTCATCCCCTCCCTGGCGGGGGCGTTATTACCGCCCCGTTTTACGCAGGAGGGAGCAGGCACGGGGAGACTGACCTGCCGCTCACGGTTGCCATGATCCTGCTGTGACGTCGCCAGAGTCACGTCGCCCTCCCCACTGAGTGTGTGCCACAGACTTCCGGGAGCAACGCTGCTTCCCTTTGCCGAGGGTTTCCTCTGGCTTTTAGAGACCTTATTGCCCGGCCCCATGACACGTGGCCAGAAGCTCCTCCGCCACCAGAAGCAGCCCTGAACGATGGTGTACAAGTGCCCCAGCTCCTTCACCCCGGTGGAGCCGCTCTGAGCACGTGCCTTCATTGGTCCCCAGAGCCCCCGCAGGACTGAGCTCCAGTTACATGAACGTGTCACTACCTGCCTGTCCTCCGCTCTCTCCCCCCCACACTGGTGCACGCGTGGAGCACTTGCACCTGAGCCTTGTCTCAAAAGCCAACCTCCAGGGGGCTCTGAAGACAGGTGGAGCAGGTCTCTGATGCCGAGGCTGGGTTCTTAGGTCACCCTCGTCCTCCCCGGGTTCCTCTCGGAGCCAGGCCCTGCCTGCCCTTTGAGAGCTACAACCCAGGGCAGGCAGAGCGTCTGGAAGCCCACACCTGGGTGTTGGGAGCTCTGATGTGCAAGGCCATGTGAGCAGACTGGGGAGGAACAGCAAAGGCAGGCGGGGAGGAGACAGCAGCAAGGAATTTAAGTCAGGAGTCGGGGACAGTGGGGCTGGAGCTGTTGTGGACCAAAAAGGGGCCTTTTCGCCCTCTTCTGGAGGCTGTGAGCCTCTAGACAAGGTCATTCACCTTGTCAATAACCTTTCTCTCTTCAGGGCCCCCCTGGCATCAGAGGCCCCCCTGGGAAGGATGGCGAGCGCGGGGAGAAGGTAAGACACGGTGTGGTCCCTCGGCTCACAGTGGCTCTTCTCAGCATCTAGAGAAGAAGGGACGGAGGCAGCTGCTCAGCTTAGCCCTGACTCGGGACCCAGGAGTCAGAAGGGCTTTCTGAGTAGAGGGAGGGAGGGAGGGAGGAGGCCCTGCCGTCATCTCCTTTAACCGCGCAGCAGACCTGTGCGTTGGGCGGATCCCCATTTGACAGAGGTGGAGACTGAGGCTCTGAGAGATCTGTTCATTCGTCCTGCATCCTGTAGCTGCTGAGCCTCAGACCCAGGTCTGTCTGACTCTAGATCTCATTTCCTCTCAGTTCAGTGCACCAGCGTAACCGTCCCACGCCTGTGTGCGCAGTTAAACCGTCCCGGGCTATGAGCGTTATTCACTAAGAAGAGAGATTTCCCCAACACACGCACAGAAGCCACCAACACCCAGGGCCAGAGACGGAGGCTCCAGGGCCTTTTGAAACCTTTCAGGAGGAGTCTCAGACATTTACTCTGACTTCTGCTGTACTGGCCTCTGGTGGGTGAGACCAGAGATTCTGCTAAAAGTCTTACAGCCACAGGACAGCACCCCCTTCTCAACACAGACTATCCACCCCGATGTCAGTAGCGCCAAGGTTGAGAAGCCTGGACCTCGGGCACCCTCTGGCACCCGAATGTCCTCACCTGTAAAATGGGGAGGACAACTCATTGGTCGTGGGTGGTGAGGATTAACTGAAGCGTTGATGTATCGAAGGCGGCTGAGAGCAGGTGGTGCCAGGAGCCGGTGGTCAGTGTCCCGCGCTCCCCGTGCGGACTTCCACACCCAAGGACAGGTACCTCAGCCTCCCCCAACCCTAACGCGCCGTGCACAGCGGCCGCTCCCACACTCCAGTGTCTGAGCCTGACACGGACCCCTCCCAGTCCACTGTGCCTGGAACCTTTAAAAGGAGCGGCCATTTTATGTTTTCTGTTTTGGCGAGATGTAACAAGACTGGATGTAAACGTTTGCATTTTGGTCTGAAGGCTCAGCTTTAAAGTGCGTACCTCAGAGGAGAGCATGGTTTATCGTGGAGAAGAATGATCAGCCAGCCTGTGGGTAATGTCCTGGGTTCTTGGAGCGTTCGTTCACCACGAGCTCAGTAACAACCCCTGTGTGATGCACGTGCTCATTTCTCCCTAAGACCCCCTCAGGCTGCAGCAGCGAGAGCGGAGCGAGGGAGGAAACTGGGCCCGTCTGTTCTGCCTTGATTATGCCGTGTCTGCGGGGCTGGGCTCCCTCCTAGGACACAAGTAGGGCTCTGGCCACTGAGAGGGAGTTGAGGGGGGTGAGAAGAGGTTTCTGAGGACCAGCTGAGCAGAGACTAGAAGGTCAGTGCATTGTTGGCTCACTCAGCCTCTAGGGGGAGCCAAACACCGCTTCTCAGCCGAGCAGACACCCAGGCTGAGGTCCAAGACCCAGGGCTGCATTTGGAAGGGGACCTCCGATGCTCTGCACAGCGGGAAGCATCCCTGACGCAGGACGTGCCCTTTCTGTCTCACTGTCCAGTGGCTGGCCTGACGCTTGGGGAAGCCAGTCCTGCCCTGGGCTTGCTTTGGCTCTCCTTGGGACGTCACACCTCACGTCACCTCTGCAGCAGGAGTGTCTAGAGACAACCGGGGTGCAGCTTAGGCCCACGGGAGCCCTGCCCGGGAGGCGTTCCTGTGGCTCACGTCGTTCCCCCTAGCACTGCGGTCCGCAGCCAGGGCTGCCACGGGGCCCCTGGCTTTGTGGTCAGAAAGGGTGAGCAGACTCGAAGCCCAGCTCCCTCCCGAATCAGGTCCTGGCTCGCACACGCACGCTCTCTCTCCCCACTTCGGAGCCCCACGCTGTGCGTGTTCCCGTCGCTGAAGGCCTGCCGCGTGAGGAGGGTTAGCTTTAGTCCGCAGAGCTCCAAGGTGGAATGTCAGACGTCTGGGAGATTTCAGAGAAGGTTGTTTTAGCTGAATGTAAAGACACATGATGTAATGAGACTGCCCAATAAAGGGATGAACAGACCTGGGAGGTGGTGAGCTCTCTGCTCTCAAAGGAGTCCAAGCAGAAATGGGAGGAGGCCTGCCCGTGAGAGCCACGCCTGACGGTTTCCTGCAGAGGGCAAAGGCTGGACTAGAAGACTGCTAATGTCCTTCCCAGTTCCTTGTTCCTTGGCGTATAGTCTGTTAAAGCCACCGTAACAGAGGACCACAAACTGGAGCCTTAAGCAGCAGACGCTCACCGTCTCACCGTGCTCCCCGTGTCTGGAAGCCCCGAGTCGTGGGGTCAGCAGGGTTGGCTCCTCCTGGGGCTGCAAGGGAAGACTCTCCCCCAGGCGTCTCTCCTTGGATTGCTGATGGCTGTCTTCTCCCTGCGTCTTCACTTCCTGTGCGCACGTCTGTGTCCACATCTCTGTGTCTTATGAGGACACCAGGCCAGCCCGGCTTAGATTCTGTGCTGCGCCAGCGGGACCTCGTCTTAACTGATTACATCTTCTAAATGGAGTTCCCGGGGGTTAGGGCTTTGGCGTGTGAATTCTGGGGGACACGCAGTACCGTCCAGCTCTCTCTGCCCTCAGAGGGGGTGGGCTTTCTCAGACGGCATCACTGGGAAGCCTCCCAACCCCATTCAGGTTCGTTCGCCACCGAGAAGCTTACTGTCTGCATGTCATTGATCCTGGACACTTGTCTGCTTTGCTCTCCAGGGAGCCGTGGGAGAAGAAGGGAGCCCAGGGCCAGCTGGCCCCAGGGGCGACCCCGGAGCCCCTGGGCTCCCCGGGCCACCTGGAAAAGGGAAAGATGGAGAGCCGGTAAGTGTCCTGTCCAGGCGTTTCTGTGCCCATGACGACCGGGCACAGAGAAAAGAAAAAAAAAGGCTCACTGGCCCAACTTTGCAGAACCTGAGTCTTAGCCAGTGAAAGTGTGTGGTCGGGAAGGGGGCACTGTGTGGGGAGACAGCTTGCTCCAGTGCATTCAGACCAGGGCAGCACTGGCCTGCATGGCCTGCTTGCTGTGTGTCAGGCTCCAGCCCAGATGCTGGGGACACAGGGTTAAAGTCTGTGATGTTGAGATGCTCCTGAGACAGTGAAGCAAACAGCAAGCCAGAGCTCGGGCAGCCCTGGGGCTTCTCCATCTGTGTAAGTCTGGGCTAACCTCACATAGGAAATGGCGTTGGTGCTGAAAGTCAAAGTTGAGAAGAAATGATATTTTAGACAAAACAGCAGAGTGGGTGTTCGAGACAGATTGTACCTGCAAATGCATGCGGTGTTACGTGCAAGGAGGCTTGCGAACATTTTAGTATGTCCTCCACGTGAAGTGAGACGTGTTAGTAAATTTTGCTGCAGTAACAAAGAACCTGAAATCTCAGTGGCTTTTGACCCTTAACAGAAGGCCCTTGTGTTACATGTTGATGTCCGTTGGGTTGAGCGCTGGGGCCCTGCCCCACTTGTCTTCTCAGCCCCAGGCTGAAGAAGAGGTCCATGGCCCCGCCAGCCACGTGTTCCTCACGGAGGAGACGCACGATGACTCTCAAAGCGTCTGTGGGTGTGATCCGCATCACGTCCGCTCGTGCTGTTGGCCAAAGCAAGCCTCGTGGCCAAGCCCAGCACCGGTGGGGCAGGCACGTTCACTCCCCCGTGGGACGTCTTGCTAGTCCGCTGGCAGTGGGTGGGCATGTGGATCCTCTCACAGGAAGGGAAGAGTTGGGGCCAGTAATGAAATCTTCCTCATTGGCCAGTGCCCACTCTGAGCCAGGTTCTGTCCTGACTCTGAAGACAGTGATGATGGTGGCTTTGTCATTCTCAAAAGCTCACTACCTCATAGAGTGGGACAGATGGACCTAAGTTCGAGTCAGAACAACCCCCTACCTGTGTGACCTTGGAAAAATGACTGAAATTCGCTGTGCCTGAATCTTTAATCCTAGATGTGAATTTCCTTTTGCCCTAAAACGTGAGTGATCCTGGCATCTACCTCCCAAGGGCTAAGTGACATGGTACACATAAACCCTTAGCGTGTGGCTCTCAGCCAGCTTTTGTTGTACTAGCTAGTGTGGCATTTTCTGTGTACCAGGCACTGAGCACGCCGTCCTTCATCCTCGTGTCTACGCTGAGAAGTGAGAAGTTGTTTTAGTCCATTTGGGCTGCTATAAGGAAACACCATAAACTGGTGTCTTATGAACAGCAGAAATCTGAGTATCACAGTTCTGGAGGCTGGAGGTCCAGGATCAGGGCATCAGCACGGCTGGTTCTGGTGGGAGCCCTCTCCTGGTCACACACTGCCGGTTTCTTGCTGTGTCCTCGGGTCGTGAAAGGGGCAGGGAATCTCTATGGAACCTCTTCAGTAGGGCACTAATCCCATTCAGAGGGCTCCACCCTCGTGACCTAATCACCCTCAAAGGGCCCACCTCCTAACACCATCACAGTGGGCATTAGGGTTTAACATGCAAATTTTGGGGGGAGACCAACATTCAGACCAGAGGTATCATTAAGCCTGTTTTATAGATGGGAGATGTGAGGTTCAGAGAGGAGATTCACTTGCCAAAACAAAGTCACATGGCCAGAGTGGGAGAGCTTGGCCATTAACCCACAAGGGCCTGGACCTCCCTTCTCCCTGCACTCTGGCTCTTCCAGCCAGTACTTCCAATGGTAGATTGTGGTTTGAATGCAGGCCGTGTGCACTGCATCAGCAGTTGAAGACTTTGCCCACTGGCTCCTCCAGGTCTTGACAGCACGGGAAATGAGGAAGAGATCAGTCTTTGGAATTGGGTGAAGCCCTACCTTGAAACCTGAAATCTGGCCTTGCCCTTTCTGAAGGAGTCTGCAAAATAAGACTCTTTAGTAGGAAAGCAAACAGGGAGAGACGGAGGAACTTGCTCAAGGTCACACAGAGCTGGCAGGTGGCAGTCAGAACTCACACCCAAGCGCCTCGGGTCTCAAAAGCAGGTGGTCTGCTTTGTGCCAGACACATCATGGTGAGAGTCCCGGTCATCTGTGGCTCCCACAGCATAGGGTGCGCACAGCTGGCCACGTGCTGGATGGGGAAATGCTCGCTTATCGTCCCCTGACTGTCCTCTTACCATTCATTTCCCCAGGGGCTTCGTGGACCACCTGGGTTACCTGGGCTTCTAGGAACCAAGGTGAGTATTTATGCAGCAAACTGTGGGCACCATGGGTTGCACATAGAAAGGGGCCATGCAAAACTTAATGGTAAGAATCTCTGGTCACCTCAGTTTTCTTCCATGTTTCTCATTTTCCACCCATCTCAAGGTTCTGTGACTCTAAACTGTGACATTGAAGTAATTTCCACACAATTGGTGCTTAATAGAGCAACATGATCACAGAGCATGTGGTTTTTGTTGTGTATTAAAGGCTTGTTTTCAATGACATCCAGGATGCGGGACTCAAGGCCCCAGGAATCATGGCCGTGTCTACGTTTAACTTGTTTGCTCCATGACTTTTTCTGCTGTTCAGGCAGGTGACCTGTGTGAACGCACTGAGCTTGCACTGACTGAGGTCAGAGGGAGGCTAGTGTGCAGTCCCCTGATGGCGTTCATGTTTGTTGTTCATGATCAAAGGAAAAAGAAATGAGAACGTTCTTTGAGTGATCTAAGCAAATGTTTGGCAGCTCCCTAGTTTCTGAGGAGAAAAAAAAAATGGAAACAACTTTGCCTGGATTTGAAGGCACATCAGGTAGTTCCTTGTGCCTGGAGCAGTGAGTGCTTGCAGGGCAGTGGGCGCGTGCGGGGCGGTGGGCACGTGCGGGTGGGCGTGTGTGGAGGAGCAGGAAGCAGCACCCAGGTTCTGGAGGACCCTGCGAATTAACAGCCGAGTGAAGGTGTTTGTCAGAGGTTCCTCTGTGACTCAGTGAGCACAGCGCCTGACTGGCAGCCTCCTGTGCTCTCAGGTTTCCCCCGAGAGTAGGACCTTCAGGATCTAGAAGAAATAAATTGCCTCTTAGAAGAAAGGAAGGCAAGGACACGGGAAGTGGGGTAATGAGAAAGTGGCTTAAGATGTCCTTTCTCTTACGATAATTACTTATGAGGGTGATAAGTATCTCCCAGGCAGAGTTTAGGAAAAAGTGATATAACACAGATGGAAATGATTGCCTGGCCTCATGGTTGCCTAGTCACAGGTACTCGCTCTGTAAATATTAGTGATCCTTGTCGCTAGATCACCCCGCGGAGTCTGCCTTAGGGTTGCAGCAAGAAGGTGGGGATCTAGAGAGGCCTGACTCACCCGTCGGCTCGCTGTTGGAGAGAGGAAGCGCAAGGGGAGTTGGGGGGCAGCCCTGCCGAGCGGAGCCAGGCTGAGAGCCCGGGTGAGGCGTGCGGAGGGCCGGGCCGTGGGGTCCTGTTGACCAGCTAGTTTCAACTCCGGGGGCTCCTAGTCAGTCACGCTGTCCCTTTGGCCAAAGGAGTCCTCTTTTTAAAAATGTGGGATGTGTAAACATGACCCTTTCAGTGTTAGTATTGTAAATATTTGTTTCTAAGTTAGAATGTAGTTTAGAGGTTTCCATAATTAACTGGCGCTGGGAAGGTGAGTTGGGATTCAGAGGTCTTTAGCTGTAGAACTGAGAGCTCCTGGGGAGAAAAAGGAGGGAGGGAGGGAGGGAGGGAGGGAGGCAGAGACACAGAGGGTGACCCCTGAGACTGGTCAGCCCTGTTCCTTGCCCAGGTGCTGTCCCTGGTGCTGACTGAACACACCTGGGGAACCAAGGGAGGGAGCCATATAAAGGTTGTTAGGGGCACCTGGGTAGCCCTTCCTAACTACTTAACAACTACAGGAAGATATGTGAAGATGCCTTTCCTTCTCTTGGGTGGCACTTGTTTCCTAGCAAAATGAGCAGGCTTTGCCTTCATACAGAACTGGGTTAGGATCCTAGCTCAGCTGCCTACAAGATAGATGACTTGAAGGCAAGTGGCTCATTCTTTCTGAGACTGTCCCTTCTCTGTATAAAGGAATAAAGCATATTTAACCCCCAAAGGGCTCCTGCAGATAAGTGTTCTGATGGCACATGGTGGTTGTTCAGTAAATGTCATTCTCCTTCCACGGCCTCACTCATTTCTTCCCTGAACACTGTTGAACTGGCCCAGAATGTCTTGCAGCCAAAACAGTTACTGCAGTCAGTATTACAGATTATAGCTCATGTGCCCCCTTTTTTCTAGTTGAGCCCTCTTGGTTTTGCTAACAGAGCATTAAGGTCTTTTGCTCTTTTCTTGAAGCCATTTTCTAAAAGTTTCAGTCCATTAAGCCTCGAAGTGTAGTTCCGGGGCAGGCAGGGAATGTTAGCGTCGCAATGGGCCTTAAACACACAAAGGGAGCTGGGCCTGGCTACCCAGCTGCAGAGATCAATCAGTGACTCAGATTCCTGCAGGCTGGGAGGTGTCTTTTATTATGCTCCTTTCTCAGTAGAAAGTTGATTTTGGTCAAAAGTAGAATTCAGTACCTGACAAGACGTGAGTGACGATAGATCCATTCATTCTGGCATTCAGGAATTTGCTATTAGAGGGCTGTGGCAGGCCCTAAACTGGGCCCTGTGGATGGAAAAGTGTATGGACTTTGTACCGAAGGTAGGGGCTGACTCCTTTTAAGTACTTGACAAATGTTTATTGGATTAATAAATGAATGAGTGGATAGTTTCTTCTTTAAGACACTTACACAGAAGTCAGAGAGTCAGACAGACAAAATGGGAGGGCAGAGTGTGTTATGATTAATGAAGATACATACAAATTTCTTCAAGAGGACAGAGAGGAGGGCAGGCAGAGGTGGGTTTATGGGAATGGAATGACTGGGCCAAGTCCTAATTGGGGGGTGAGTGAGTGGAAGCTTAGAACCTGGAGGAAAGAACGTCCCCACAAGGGGAAGAGCATGTGCAGGAAGCAGGGATGTGAATGGATACCCTGGAAGAATACAAACTCAGTCATCGGTGTGGTGTAACTTGCAGTAGTTAGGGTTTTCTGCTGTGCATGAAGCAAAGCCTTGGGAAGAAGAAGGGAGCCAAGCCGAAACAGAAAATGGTAGGGAGAAAATCTGTGTCAAGTGTCTAAAGAGACATGAGTACAGAACGTCATGGATTTCTCTGATGTTTATGTGTGCGTAGTTTATTCTCTGTCTTCTAATTCTGTTGATAAAACATAATAATGTACTTACAGTACCCCATGGTATATAGTCTCTTAACCTTGTAAATGAGTCTACATAAAGTACATGGGGATTTGGTAGAGTGTTCATCCCCCCCCCAATGATGAAGGTCTTAAGGTGCAGAGAGGTTATGAGATTTATCCAAGGTCACAGGACCAGACTGACATTGTCCTGTTACCAGCCAAACTCAGGACCACTTGCCTGACGCACCGCAAAACTGATCCACTGACAGCAGGTTGTGGCGAAGGAAAAGTACAGCGTTCACTTGCAGGGCGCCAAGCAAGGAGAATGGGTGCCCAAGAAGTCTGAATCCCCAGTGGCTTTCAGACAAGGGTTTTTAAAGGCAACTTTAGAGTGAGGGTTGCAGGGTGTGTGACCAGCTCACAGACATTCTTCTGATTAGCTGATGGTGAGGTAACAGGGTGATGTGTCAGGAATCTTAATCGTCAGCCTTCTGGTCCCAGCTAGTCTGGGGTCTCCATGCTTGTGGTCAGAGGTAGTTACTGTCCTCTAACGGGGGGGGGTCTCAGTTTCTGCAGAACAGCTCACAGGTGTGCATCAGATTGTTGTGTACCCCTTGAGAAACTAGGAGGCCTGGGACTCTGTTTTCTTGCTGGACTGTTGCTTTCTTTACCATAACTCTTCTTGCTTAACTACCTTTCCTCTATTTCTGCATTCCCTCACTTCCCTAGTTAGTAACTGCTTGAGTCTGCTCTTTGGAACTCCGGGAAGGCCAGACAAGAAGCGGGGACACAGAGGGGCTTGTACCTGGGGAGGCCCCTCAGGGTCCTGCTCAGTTGCAGCCCCCCCTTTTCTCTGATACTCCTCCATCCTGAGGGGAACAGAGGCAGGACAAGAATGGGAATAAAGTTTTGGATAGATGGGTTAGTCGTAAACTCAGCAGGGGAACTTGGTGTCAGTCCGAAGACTGGACGTGTAGTCACCTGCTGGCCGGTTTGCAATCTTCCCTCCTGGTCCTCTCACTGGTGTGGGGTGCTGGTGAGGGATCCAGCACTGGTCATGTTCATTCTTAGTTCATTGCTCTTTTTCCATATTTGCCTTGTTCTTTGACTTCCTTCCTCCCCCGCCCTCTCCGTTGCATGCAGGTCAGGTTTGCTGGCAGCCCCAAGCGTCTCGTATGCCCCAGAATCAGCCGTAGCACAATGTTCTACAGAAACAGACCGCCCATCTGGGACTCTGAAGAGAATTTCACAGGGGCTCTTTTCAGAGATGAGGGTTGGACAGACGGATGCTGTAGCTCTCGGGGGGCGTGGCTGCCGTGGGCCTGGAGGGATGCAGGAGAGAGACCACATTACCAGAGTCTAGTGAGAGGTTTGGGTTTGGTTGCATCTCTTTTGTGAGAACTTCACAAGCCCTGTTCAGGTTTCTTTTCCGAACTTAACACTGAGTATTGAAAGTGGGCAGGGCTCGTGACTGAGTCATCTTTGGTCCTGGGACCTAGACTGCAGCTTGCAGCGAACAAACAACAAACATGAGTTGGCCAGATACATGGCTTACGTCGTCGTGCAAGCAGCAGTCACGCTGCAGGACAAACAAGTCACGGCAAGAAGATCTGACCGTTTTGCTGTCCCTCTACAGAAAATGGCAAATGGGGTCCCTTCCCTTTTCCCGTCTTCCCTCCTCCTTTTTCTCTTCCTCCAAAGTGCAGAATGACAGGCGCACAACAGCAGCAGCACCCACAGCAGCTCACCTGTGTGGCCGCTGCCAGGCGCTCCTTTAGTGCGCGCGGCGTCCGCTGGCCCGCTGCTGCCCGCCTGTCGTGTAAGGGAGGAAACTAACGGTCAGGAAACTTGTCCCTCTCTTAAGCCAGCCGTTACTAAGAACTTACACCCACGCGATCTCAGCCACCGTGCTTGAGGGCAGAGGCTATAGTTTAATCATTCCTGCCCCTCCCAACTCCTGGAAAAGTGACCCACAAAATGTAGGTACTTGGCAAATTATTGGTGCAACGATAAATTAATGTATTGGTGACATGGGGACTGAATTGAAATGTGGGTACATGGTCAAATTTGGGGTGTGTCCAGGATGGGACATAATGAAGTCTGGAGAAAGCACAGAAAACTTGGAATTGTGGTCATATATTGGGGGGGTGCGTATTGCTGTGATCACAGTTGGGGCATCACGACTGGGGCACAGTCAGCCCTGTTGGTGGCCATGGTCCATGCCTGCTGGACTGGCAGGGACGACGGGCTGCTGGGGTGAACTTTAGAGTGTGCAGAATCCGGGAAGGCTGCCAGACGGGGAGTGCAGTCTGGACCATGGGAGGAGCACCGTTCCTCCATACCCTGGCTCTCTCCTTCCCGGCACTGACCACTTGATTTCATGTTTTCTCTTTCTAGGGAGACCGCGGTGCACCTGGGACCCCTGGCTCTCCTGGCAGCCGCGGAGACCCGGGCGTTGGGGCTGCTGGCCCTCCTGTGAGTCCTTACTCATCCAGCACTTCCTTGCTTTCAGGGCACACAGTCGTTCCGTGCTGGCTCCCAAGGGAAGGTGCTGCCTCGGCCCTACTGCAGGGACACTCCTTGTCCAGCTAACGCAGTGGCGGCCCCTGATGTCTGCTCAGTCAGGGTGTAGGCCTGTCCACAGTGGCTGGTGTTGTTACTAAAACTTGGTGTACTTCTTATGGGAATAAGGTTTGTGGGGAGACCAAGACATGTCTGATTCAAAGAGGAGTGAGAGAACAAAAGTCGTTAAAATTGAAAAAGAAAAAAGGGCTCACTGACCAAACTTTGCAAAACCTGAGTCATAGCCAGTGAACTGGGACTGGCTGGGGAGGGGTGTGATGTGGGAGAAGCAGCATGCTTGCATGCGTTTCAGGCAGAAACGAGTTCATGACCCCTCGTCCTCCAGTTAACATACAGATGAGAACACAGAATCAAGAAAGGCTTTTATCCCCAGTGATGGGGTCTCCTCACTGGCAGTTCTGAACCCCCTACACCCGCCCACTGGGGTGAGCTGGCAGACTCCCCAGAGGGCTGCAGCCTGGCGTGGCCCTGCCATCATTTCACCGGTCTCTCCATGTCCCAGTCCACTCCCTGAGGGTTCATCTACCGAGCCCTTCCTCGGGAAGCCGGGCCACCTCCCGCTCCAGAGCCACCCAATGTCGCCCATGAAATATGCTCCTACCCGAGTGATGCCACTGGAAAAGTGATTGGCTGGCTCCAGCCAAGAGGCTGTAAATCAACTGTTCAGTGTCCTTCCTCCACCTCAGTTATTAAAAGCTTCCGTGGTGGGTGAAACCTTATTGAATTTTCATAAATCCTGTCTTTGGCCAGTAGCCTAGGCTGCTTCCTAATGGCCCGGCCATCTGCGATGAGGGTTCAGGGCTGTGCTGCGAGCAGGCATGCGGAGACGGTGGAGGAGGGCGAGGGCGGACGTGAGTTCGGACGGGAAGCAGGGCCCATTTGCAGGAGGCCTGCCGTTTGCTGAGTGCTGAGGGCTGAGTCCAGAAGCATCCACACGCTCAGTCCTCCAGGCCTGTGAAAGCTGGTTTGCTCCTTGGTGAAGGCTGGGATTCTACAGAAGCATCTCCTGAGAACAGGATTCAAGGACAAGGAGTCTGTTTGGGAAAGTAGCTCAGCCATCACCCCTCCGGGAGAGGCAGCCTCCAGTGGCACCTGCCCCCCTCCACCCTGGAGACCGATTGGTGCAGACATAGAGCTGTGCTGAGAAAGGGGTGACACAGCGGGGGCTTGTGTGCCAGCTCCTGTTGGGCGTGGGTCGCACACAGCCCTGGGGAGCTGCCCTGCACGCCGGCCGAACGTCCCCTTGTGGCTACAGGAAGCCCTGGGCAGCACCTGCAGCAAGCAGCTGCCTGGTGGGAGCGTGCCCAGGGAGTTAGGAGGGGCCCCCGATGGTGTCTGCTTCATCAGCGTCTTCCAGGTAAACATTCTGAGGTTCAGAAGGTGAAGTGACTTGGCCGATGTCCCGTAGCTGGGCCAGGGCCAGGGCTGGGACACAGAGCTCTTCCTACCTCCTCCAAAGTCAGGTCTCTTCCTCTGTTTCACCTCGCCTGTGGCTGCGGCAGGACGGGCAGGAGTGTTCATTTCTGTCACATTCTCACGTTGAGGATGGAGTCTCCTCGTCCTTCCTTCCGTGGTGCTCTGCCTACTCCAGGGCCTCTGGCTTCCTGTAGCAGCACCGACTCCCTGGGAGGGAGCCCAGGGCTTTCGCTGCCAGTGCTGTGCACATCACCGCGCAGGGGTGTGGACGGGGAGGCCGTTCTTTGGTGTTTTGGCCTCCCGTCCAAGATGTTAACCAAAAAATCCCTTTAATCTTCAGATGCCTCTGATCTTCCTTAAGCAGCGTCCGAAATGCTTGAAAATGACCCAGTTCCGCCTGAGGGCAGATCTAAGCGCCAGAGACCCCCGCTGACCCTCGGAGCCTAAGGTCTGCAAGGGCAGGGCTCCTTCTGGCAGCCTGCGTCGGTCTGAGCAGTGGTTTCCTCGTGGGCCAGCGGGGTGGGGGGGACTACAACGTGGTAATATCGCCGGAGACACCTGGTGCCCTGCCTCTGACCTTCGGGTGTCATGAGAGTCCTCCCCCGACACCTCCCTCAGCCTTTGCCACCTAAAATTGCCCTTCCTCTCTCCAGGCCTTTGCCTCCCGCTCTGAGATCACTTGCTCTGGCAGCTTGCTTTGCTCAGGCACTGAGGGTCCCCATACAGACGCCACCAGCCCTTAGGAGCCCTGCGGCCTGGCAGAGGACAGAAGCTTGGAGCTGAGCATGTGCAGTAACACACATCAGCCCCCCGAGGGGGGTGGCTTCCACTGCCCCTCTTCCCGGGAGTGACAGAAATGAAAGCCACTGAAAGCTGCAGTGACCGTGATCACAGCTCGCGTCGCCCCTCCGCGCAGGGCAGCGCGTCTGTCTCCTCATTTAGCTCGTGGGCGCCCTCTCATTTACTTCTCCCAGCAGCCCTCCCAGGCAGCTCCTAGTCTCCCTTTCATTTTACAAATGAGGAAAAGCACTTAAGAGATGTGGCGCTTGCCTGAAGTCACAGCTGGGACGTGGAGGAGCGAGGACTGGGTGCCAGCATTCTAGCTCTGAGCAGGCGCCCAGAGGACGGAAGTTCGCGTTTACACGGCCCTTCCTGGTGCCGGCGTCGTCCCCACGCAGCCTGCCCCTCAGCTGTGACCCGCAAGCCCAGCAGCTGCCTGCGTCCCTGTCTCATCTGCCGGCTCAGTCCGATTCCCTCGGTTCTAAGAGCCAGGGAGCCCCCTGCTGGCCCAGGAATGAGACTGAGCAGTTTCCCTTCGACAGGGGCACGTGCAGCCAAGCAGCCCCACCGGCCGGGCTGCTGCGGGACACCCGGTGTCTCTCAGTGGTTACGCCCCGGCCGACACCCGGGGCCTGGGCAGGCTTCATTCGCTGACTTGGGCTCTTGTCCTGTTCCACGCACGGAGCCAGATCCCGGGGGGCTCGGGGTGGGGGCGCAGCACAGACCCCAGGGCAGGGCAGGGCTCCGTGTATAACCAGCAGCTCGGTATCCCCACCGTGGCTTTTAGTCCCGGGATTCTTCTGCTGATGGAAAGGAAAAGGATTTTAAATAAGTTCCTACTCTCACTTCTGGTTGGGAACTCTCTATCTCAGCACGGCCTTTGGCTGCTCCTAGTAATAGTTCCGGAGGCACGCTGAGCGCCGTGCACGCCCTCCAGGCCCCTGCGAGGCCCGACGTGCCCTGGCTCACCCTCCCTGGGGTCCTGCGAGCTTGTGCTGGCATCATCTCTGGCTCACAAATGAGGGGGCCCAGAAGCGGGCCTGGCTCACGTGGCTAAGCCACCCCAGAGCCCAGCACAGAGCCCGGTACCCTGCGCCCTTCAGGAAAAAGACGTGGGGATAAAATGCACTGTGTTCTCAGATAGCTGTCCGTCGGAGTTATGGGGCGAGGGGGTCAGCTTTCAAATTTCTCTCAATATAAACTGCAGTTCTTTAGTTGACAAAAGAAGACTTATTTTATTGTTTGGTCTCACAGAGCTTCCCACGGTCTGGACTTAGCTCGTGGACCAGTTTAGCCCGCTGCTGTGTCCGTGTGTTTCTTACCCATCCGTACATGGGCCTCAAGGCTAGATGACTCAGGTTTGATCTCTTTGGCAAGAGTTCACAGAGGGTGTGTTCTTCCACAGGAAGCATAGGATGTCTGGGGGGCTCTTGTTGTGAAGTTCACACCCTTTGATGTCCAGAGCTTAGATCGCTTAGCGCATCAAGACTTGCAAATTGATGCTATTCTGGTTCAATCGGTTCCTTTTTATGTGTTAGTTAGAATATTTCTATACAGAAAAGACGCTCCGTCGTTTGGATTTGGATACCCAGTGGGACAGTCCGCGTGGAAGGCAGAATAGAAGAGCTGGTCTTTGCCTTTTGATTATTTTCAAGTAACGACTTGAAAATCTTACAAAGATGGCATCTTGCAAAGATGATGGATGAGGCGGTTTTGTTTTCTGTCAGTCATTCCAAACTCCTGGATTTAAACACGTTTGATCTGATTTAATGTTGCAGGTGTTCTTCCTTTTGATGCTCAGATTGTCGTATTTTAGGCAGACGGGAGCCCATGCAGGTTGACCCGAAGTGTTTCTGACACCAGCCCAGCAGCCGCTGACGGTGTCCTTGCTCTGTGGAAGGACAGGATGTCCTGATCCGTTTCTGTTCCTCACCCAGATCTGGAGTCAGTCGTCTCTCCAAGGCGCTGTAGTTCCTTTTAGTGGAAATGGTATCAAAGACCAAAATACGTGTTTTAGGTAATGCGACTCCTGAGCAAACCCATCAGAGGGTGTAATCTTGGAACAGAGGGTTGTTAGTCTTGAAAACATGCCCAGGCTTCGGATTTAGGAAGGGCATCGATCGGGAAGCCACCCTGCGACCCCTCCTCCACAACACACTCCTCTGTCTCCTCAAAGTATAGCAGCAACTGCCGCGGGAGTGCCTCTCACGGGCCAGGCTCTGGGCTGGTTCTCTCCTTAGGTGTGTCCTCTTACTTCTGATCACACGAAGCGAGGGGCTCGCCAGCTCTGTGTCAGGATCGGGCAGACTGAAGTGCGGAGAGACTGAGGCCAAACAGCCGATAACTGGCAAAGCTAAGATTTGATAGGAGGACTTTTTTGACAACAAAACCCACCCTTTACCTGTAGATTTTATATCAAATGACATAAGAGAGGGATTCGGAGTTCAGTCTAATGAAACAATTAAACTCTGGAGATGGATCGTTGGGTTTAATTTGGAAACAGGAGGTGCCAGCAATAGACCATCGCTCTGCCACGTCCTTGGGGATAAGTGTGCAGTCTCCGTAAGGAACGACTGTGAAAGGAACGGAATTCGGACGTGTGCGCCCTGGCCCCTGCATCCCGCTGGCCTACGACTTGACAGAGCAGTGGGAACTAACGGGGAGAAGGGACGTGTGAGTCATGTGGACCCCAGGGGGGTTCTGAGTCCATTTTCTTACCTGCTTGGCTTAGGCCTCTTGAGGTGTCCCCTACCTTCTTGAGTGCTCAGCTGTGCACTTAAAATGCTTGTTTTATTCTGTCAGGCAGCTCTGGGACACATGAGACGGGCAGGCTTTTAGGTGTCCTGGTCTGTTGCGCTGCCGGAAGCCTGTGCCTTGGTCTGAAATCTCTCCTCCCTCTTGGGATGCCCTCGGGAGTTCTCGACCGG